TTTCCCTCTGTTGGGCCCATGCACGTTCACCTCTGCTCCTCCTGCATCTTCCCAAACCCAACGGGAAAGGTCATGAGAACCTGGTTAGACCTGGAAGCTGGTCCTGTGTGAGCTGGGGTGAGTGGGCACCTCCACAGCTCCCAGCTCGTGTTTATCTCACCCAAACAGCCTCAGGTGAGCAGGGAGCGCTCAGCCCTGTGCCAAGCAGTGTGATGCAGAGCCGGGTGGTGACCTGGGGCAGAGCTCCAGAGTGAATTCAGCAAGAAAAGTCAGTTTGAGACATGGAAATGAATGGGAAAATAGGATACAACAGGGGTTCACCAAAAACAGCTTATGTCAGAGCGGCCTGAGAGGTTTCTGCGACATCAGATTCCAGACAAAGGCAGTTGTAGCTCGTCTCCCCAGGTTGCTGCAGAGTGCTCGCTGTGATGCCACCTGGGAAATTACTCATTAAGCTGGAGAAGATGAGGTGGAGGTGAGGATTACGAGGTGGCTGAGAACCTGGTTAAATGGTTGTTCAGAGCAAGCGGGTTGGAAATAGAGCATTGAGTTGGAGGAGTTTATTAGTGGAGCATTTGATGATTGGGCTATTTAGGGTTTTGTGCATGTCCTGAGTGCACAAAGCAGGTGGGAGATGACACTTGTAGCATCTCGCTGGGCTGCAGAGGAGGAGAAGGGGGATCCTGAGGGGGTCAAAGCCTGGAGCGATGGGAGGGAGCAGGGATGCCTTTGCCCAGATCATGTTTTAAATGGAAATTCTGCCTTTTAACGCAGGCTGAGCCTGGCTGTGCAGGTGCAGAGGTGGCTCCAGTGCTGGGGTCTGCTCCCTGCCCTGGTGCTGCTACAGGAGAGGCTGGGGAGGGGGGTGAGACCCCAGGCATGCTGCAGGCAGGGGTATGGCTGCTTCTGGCTGGAGCTGGGGTGATGGCAGGTCCATGCATCCCACGCTGGGCTGTGCATCCCACTGCAGAGCTGTGCAGTCCGCCCCCCCCGCCAGTGCCTGGCAGACCCTCTCCTGCTTCCTGCCCAACCTGTTTCAGGCACTTTGCCTCCCAGGGAGCCACCCTTTGAAACAACAAAGCAGCTGCCCTGCCTCTGGCCTGAGGAAACATTAACGAAGGCGGTATGGGACAGGGAGGGATGGCCACGGCTGGGGCCTTGACAAGTATGGCCGTGGCTGCTGCGTCGGGTGGTGATGCCGGGAAGAGGATGGATTTCTTCGGGCGCCTGCTGGTGAGTGCTCCCGGACCCATGGGAAGGGTGCTGGGCAGCGCTGCCCCGCTGCGCTCCATCCTGGCCGATCCCGCCCGGCACAGGGTTTTCTTATGGGGGCAACTTTCTCTGGAAGCCGTCAAAAGGGCACTTTCTGCTGTAGCTTCTGCTCTGAGCACTCCTCATCTGCAGGTACCCGCTCGCTAAACCTGCCCCGGGGCACTGGTGTGGTCGAACAGGCCCTGGGTTCTCTGGCCGATGCTGTGCCCAGTGCTGATGGAGGTGACCCGTGTCCTCCTCTGTGCTGATGTGCTGGGGTGTGACTGTCCATCCCTCGTGCTGCCTGTAGCATGCTCAGTGGTGAGGGCGAGGACAGATGAGCTCGAAAGGAACAGCAGCAGTGCCATTTCAGTGGAGTGTTTTGGATTTCTGAGGTCATTTGAACCAGCTCCTGGGCAGGTCTGTGGGGGGGACACGCTGTCCACTCCGGTGTTGCCTTGGGTTGCCTGGAAGAAGCAGATGCAGGGTTAGTTTGGAGCCTTTCAGCTTCCTGCTGGGCGGCACAAAGGTGTAATTGTCTCTGCTCTAATTGCCAAAATATCTGTGGCCCAGTGAGACTGGCTCCAAACGTGCATAAATCCCTGCAGGGCACAGACTGCCGTCTGCTGTACTGAACACATGAACATGCTTCTGACGGAGCTGTTTTGGCAGGTGGATCCAGTGCTGCTGTGAGGTTTGGTTCCCTGATCTGGCTGCTGGCAGAGCGGCACCTGGAAACTGTTTTAATTGCTCAAAGAGCATTTGTCCATTGCAGAGACCTGAACATGGACTGGAATCTAAACCAAGCTTA